TCTCGAATTTCCTAGCAATGTTTAACCAATCGTTTTCATTCAAACAAGAAGGAAGTACTTTTTTCTGCAGACAATTCCAAATAGTATTACAGGTTTCTTCAATAATTTTACTTACAGTTGTTAATCCAACAAGATATTGATATAAAATTGATGACATTGAATCACCAAAAGCTAGGAACCTAACCAATAAAAAAATGTGAACTATAGAAAAAATGTATATATAGATAAGTACAGATAAATAAAAAATATCAAATCTATAATATAATTTAATTTACCTATAATTTACCTTAATGTCAGGCATAAACGTTCTGCTGCAGATATAGGCTCCCTAATTATCGTCTTTTTCATAATAAATGGAGCTACTAAATTCAACAACTCCTCAAATTGTGCAGGAATCATACAAAAATAATTTCGAAATCGAGCTTCTTCCAAAATAATGACAGGAAAGATTGCGTGATAAAATCCATGATTGTATCGTTCTTTGAATATTGGATTTATCCAATAACGCTTCTTACGATAATTTCTTCTTTTCTGTTGTAATTCATTTATCAAAACTGCTGCTAAAAGTTTTTTATGTCGCCGATTTTGTTCTAATAATTTCTTCGTACTCTCGTTTAACCACATATAATATTTTCTTCCGAACATTTTAAATACGATTGACGCTAAATTTGACGTTGCCGCTTTTTGTGCAAGCCAGCGTCAACTATGATCACGTGGCTTACTTTGACGCTAAAAATGAACGTCAAGCATCAGCATGAAAAGGCACCTTAAAAAGTAACATTTGTAACTGCTGACAAATGAACTATTAAATTACATTTAAGGGAACAAGAATTTTATGTAAAAAAAAGCGGTGCAGGATATATGTGAAATATTAATACGCGATTTAATTAAATGATATATTTAATATAAGTACACACTTAATAGGAGAAACTACCATGTATATTACAGAATTGTGGTACTATACACTGAGAAATAAGTAAAAATACAGTTGACATACATGACATGAAGTGTATCTATAGTCGATGCGTATTATCAGTACAGTCTACTGGCATTAATTATAATCCGTACTTGTAAACTATCCTGACCCTATGTCTATCTTAATTATATCGGCAGTTTCAACTTGAACTGATTACCTTAATGAAAAGATCATAAGTTGATATACCTTGTATTATCAGCAATGTATATAATAATGAAATCGTTTTCATTATCGTATATATATATTTTTTTATTTAATTGTGATATATTGTAGTATGGAATCTTACTTGTTGTTTATATCTTGAGTCACATTGACAAGTTTCGTATAGAACGCTCCAAAATGTTTTATTGTATCACGTAGCAATGCCGTAAAATGACTGCCAAGATGTAGCGTTTTGCTTTATGTGCCACTTTGAAATACTCCAAAAAAAAAAACATAATACGCGTGATATGGACGGCACTTGCGAACTTTTGCAGAAATCGTAATATAATGAAACTAGAAGTGTGTAATATTGAACGACGATTCGGCAGTAACTACATGCAATGCAACCGTTTCCTCCCCATGAATCACAATCTTAAATCCTACTTTAAGATAGAAAGATTACTGAACGCATTTTTCATACGACATGAACACCGAATGGCAGTGCCTTTATCATTTGTCTCACACGACAAAAAAAATTTGTCTTTTCACTCTAAGACATGCCTAAATATGAGAAGTCTAATAAATTGATTCATTATAATTTTAAGGAACAGATCCAACTCTAGAGTTTTAACTATACAATTTTTACAAACTCTCGTATGCAATTGATGTGGAAGTAACAATGACACAAAACTTCAAATACTTAAATTGCCGCTTGAAGTCTAATTCGAAAAATTATGTAATGGAAGCAATTACGTTGCATTCATAGGATATTACTATATCTTCGTTATGAATACTGTGTTCGTTGGAAACAGGATTGTGTCTAGCAGACGAGTATTTGCGGACAGGGCGCCGACGTTTGTCTTCGGGAATGGCACCAAAAAGGTATGCTCTGTCGCTGGAAAACCCATTTCCTCCATTTTAATCAAAAAGTCCTAAAACAAAAAAGTTATATTATATCTTCCTTTTTCGTGCGATTTAGGAACGAGACTCGAACACATACTTCTATGGTGTCTGTAGCACACATTGATATTGTCTCCTTCGCACCATTAGGCAGTCGTAGACAGAGTCGTAGAAACGGTTCGTCGCCTGGAATTGAAAAGTTAATTTGCAGGTGAAATAGAGTACACGTCAAGGAGACGCCATACACATTACAGATATGTCCACTTCTACCAATGTAGATTAACTTTAATCTCGGTTTAACTTAATTTTTGCCTTTTTCTAGTTCTAAGAATTAGAAGATAAAGAATAAATTAAACCGACATTAAAGTTGATCTACACATTGATAGAAATGGCCATATTAAACTGTCACACTTACCCGTCTCAGGTTTAGCTGTATCTGATTTCAATTTTTCGTCCTTTTGCTGCTTGGTCGCGCATTCATTCAGCTTCCTCTTTTTATTAAAAGCAGTATTGCTGCTACTTGGAACATTCAAACTCGGAACACTTGAACTGGTAATATTATCAGACGCTACACTCTCATTTCCTGCGTACATAAAACAAATATTTCACAAATCGAATAAAACGCGGTGTGCTGTAAAAATTAATTCTTAACTTTAAAGATACTAACCAAGATCTACAACTTTCTCTGATAAAAGTCTAGAAGTTTTGCTACTAGGTCCACAATCCTGGAAAAAAAAGAGGAACAAATTATAATACACAAATCAGTTACGAAAGAGAAAGAAAACAAAATTATTAAATTTAGATACTAACATTTTTTATTTGATCAGCTATAGTATTTCGCTTTGGAGGCGTCGTGGGAAAATTATTCCAATCTTTAGAGTCGGACGTAACTTGCGTGGTGGCACTCTCTGGAGACGGGTGCGTGCTCAACACGTCATTTAGATCGGATATCAGGCTGTCCACGGTAATGTTATTGTAAGTTTTCATACATTCCCCCGTCCTAGGGTCCACAATCGCCAGGTAGGGATACGCCACCACATTGTAGAAGTCTATGTAACGCTTCCCATCCGACGTGTTGGACAAGACCTGATTGGAAGGTACGAAATGTAGCTCAATGAATCGGATCGAGTACAAACTGCGGGAGGTACGACATATATATTCTGGTACGACATACTTGCCACAGGATAAAGTGATCCTTCACAATTTCTTGGATGTGCTCGTTGGGCCAGACGTCCCTGTTGAGAACCTGGCAGCTGAACTCCTGCGGATTCTGAACGTTGACGAGCAGCCAGCGGTTCAGCGTCTTCGCGTGGTCCCGCGCTTCCATGAAGGAGCCCAGGAAGAGAATGTCGCACGGCGGTCGAAACAGATCCTCCAGCCGCTTCGACTTCTTCTGGGTCATGTTGTGCTTCGCGCCAGTCACTCGGCGAGTCATCTCCTCCTCCTGTCGCTCTGCGTCAATCATGCGACAATGTGAATGTGCTACGCGTATTCCAATTGACGTTGAAATGGAATATACAATACGTACGGGTCTCCACCGCAAAATCTCTGAATCTGTCAAACACATTGTTGGACAACTGCGGCAGTGAACACACTGGCTCCGAGGGCACCAGTATCTCACGCGTGGGTAGGATAGGAGCCCTCACGGGCGGCTCGGGCGGATTCGCGTTCTCGGCCTCCGGCGGTCTGCCACCCTCGAACATCAGGCTGATCGCCATCTCCACGTTGCCGTCGGCCAACGCCAGGTACTGCTGTGCCGTCGCCTCGCTCTCGCCTTAAACGACAGGACACAAACTCTGAGGCCCACGTCTCGTCCCGTCGTCCGTTCTTATATCGCGAATACATTCGTTTTCAGCATTGACATATTTTTGACATTCGCGGCCGTCTCGTCGCGATTCGACTCGGGAATGCTCGACGAGAAGCGCGCGTTATCCGCAGGTGCTTCGCGACGCTAGCTGCAGGTATAGCTGCAGTGCGATCGGCGCATATTTAACCTGAACGAGACAGAATTCTCGCGCTGACGCACGGGCCGAATGCAACACTTACCCGTCACCTCGATAAACTTCTCAATCAGTTCGCGATCCATCGCGCGGGCTCCTACCTCGCGGGTTCAGAAGGATTTTTCTCGCCGCGCGAAGATATACCCGACCGCGCAGGAAGAAAAATACCTCCAAATCTCTCCGTCCGTCTCCCTTCCTCCCTGCCTCTCTCACTCTCGCTCTTTCTCTGCCCACTCACCACGCACCGAATGACATCTCGAGCAACCACACGGCACGCTGCATCACTCTTGCGCTAGCTGTGTATACTATAAAGTATAAACATATCTCACCACCTGATGCATGAAATCCTTCTTCCTGACATACAATTTTCTCGAAATAATATCTGTACGTACTATCGTTAGAATTACTCCGATTCGAAGTGTTTTGAATAATTATACTGCTGGTATTAATTATTTAACGGCCCATATAGATAGGAACAAGGGACTCGATGTAACTTTTGTTTTCGTCAATTGTATATACTTACGCGATGTAGAGAATATTATTTTTAGAATTTTCGTGTAATAACGATCACAATTGCATTTCTTATAATGTAAATTTCTAATAAAAGATTTACAGTAAAATTCTCTGCAAAATTAACAAGATTCTATGCGAGATTATAATTAAATCATTGACTGCAATTATATAATAATGCTTAGCTGTTCGAATATTTGCAGAGATTTAATTAAAAAATATGATGGTAAATATTAATATCCCAAAGAGAATTTAAGTCTCTCGAATCTAAACAAGTTGTTATATCTTAAAATTTCGAAGACGTGTCTATTTGACATCTGAAATATTTGAGACATCTTATAATTCTTATTTCTCCTTATAATTCGTAATTCTTCTTATTTGAATATTTGTCCCGGTATTTTATTCATGTCTTAAAAATATGTTTTAAAAAAATTTTTTAATGTCAATATAGTCGATGCCATGTAGGAATGAAATAACTATAATTACATGTAGTTGACAGTCGATAAATTCGCGAATGATTTTATCGACTTTAATTACCGATGCAGTTCATTCACCTACAGCTTCGGCTGCGTTCCGTTTCCGGCATTTTGCGCATGGAACGCAGTCTTGATCGGTCTTGATTGGCCGCCGACGACACATTTGCGATACACAGTTGAATACAAAAGATTCAAATGGACGTGAAATATAAGCATCGTTGAAACAGCGTGCTGTGCGAGAGGGACCGTTCAGTCAATGTGATGTGAGACACGATTGGAAGCTCTTGTGGAAGCCGAAGCGTCGTCTCGGCAGAGCGTGATATAAAAGATGAGCATCACCGGGAAACGGCTGTACAACAAGCTTCGCGGACTGCGTCCGGATCTGTCGTCGGGCACCACGTCCGAGATTTTGAGCAAAATATGCGACGACCCGAGCACGCAGCCCTTCCTGGAGTGGTTCTGCAAGAACGTGAGCAGCGCCAATATTCTCACCTACGAGGAGATAAAATTGTAAGCCGCTTCCTCTTGCTGGACCTCGGTTGCCGGGAACGACTTGGATTCCCCTTCTGATGGTTCCTCTCTTTTTACAGAAAAAATATGTTGGAAGATGCGGGCGAGATGTTAGAGGGCGAGGCGTTGGACGCCGCGTTGAAGGAGGCCACCAGAGATTGCCCGGACTTGTTGCAGCTCGTCGACCCGGACGATACGCGTCGAGAGGATCTATTTGTGGAATACGAAGCGTTGAAGGAGAGCTGCAAGGAGGATGAGGAGTATCTACAGTCGTTGAAGAACAGTATGAGAACTCTGAGGTAAGGACTTTTATAAAATTAGACCTCTCTCTCTTTCTAAAATTAGATTTTCTCTCTTTTGAAATATCCATGTTGTTCCAAAAAGATATTCGTGATTGCATATCCTAACATCCGCTGCATCATATTCATGTTATTTACATTCTGGCCTACCAATTTGCCCTCTTGTCTGAGCCATTACTCGGATCAGGTATCTCACAATATTTTGTTTTTCAACTTTAGCTGGCCTTGTGCCGCATCGTTATAGAATTTTCGCTGAATCATACTCTTCCAAGTAACGCTATTCTCTTTCCGCGAATTTCAAGTCTTGTGAACCTTTTCGTAAGAGCACCGCTGTCTATCGAAAGTGAAAATAAATCAACTGAACGTTCTTGCATAAATTATACCTAACAATGTAATTATTCTTAATCTCCTGATTGATCTCTCTAAACACATGTGCTAGTGAAATAATTTAGAAAAATTTGCTTTGTTGTAGAGAAATCGAGAACAAGCTGGACGACGACACCGAAGAGGCGGAAACTATGCTGAACAAAGAGCAGATTGAGACGGAAAAGGCGTACGACGATTGCAGTGTCATTCTGAAGGAATTTGATAAGGACAATTGTCAGTTTTCCAAGGATATCGAGAGTCTGCTGAATGTGTACGCCAATGCCGCTAAGAATGTAATTACCTTAAACTTTGTAACTAGTTGCACACAAGAGTATTTTATTTGATTCACTGTCATTTTTGTCATTTTCTTTTCTCCAGCAAGGCAGCGCGGTGTTGTGGTCGCAAATGCTCACCGACTTGTTTATTAAACAGATAGAACTGTACAATCATTATCTGGGTATTCATATAAAGAAGCAGTTTGGAACTAATGCTAACAAGGGAGAGCAAGAAGAGGATTCAGATTATGGATCTCTAATAAATGATAGCAGGGACAAGCAGATGGACGAAAGGATGCAAGAGTTATATTTGTGTAAGACAAAGTAAGTGAGCAGGCAAATATCCCTTTCGAAAAAGGAGGACGTTAAAAAGGGGCCGATTTTGGCCCTCAAATGTGTAAACAACAGTGTTTTTACGGCCCCTTTTTAACATTCTCCTTTAAGGCTGTCACACATACAGAAATTTTAGTCGTAATCATAAGGCCGTAAGCAAATTGACTAAATCACGATCGAAATCTTACGTTTTAGAATGTTCGACTGTGATTGGTTAGTATACTTACGACTTTACGGTTAATTAAAATTTTTGTGCGTGTGATGGCTATTGAGCGACACAATTAGCGACTGTATTTCTTCTTATTTTTCTCATACACAGTTTAACCAACTCTAAATTCGAAGAGATCAATGCTAGCGTTCAAGAGGAATCTTGCGTGGCGATGTTACAGTGCGCACAGGACATCTACAACGGCGGAATTTTAAAAGTGCCCGAGGATAGTAAATTGCAGTAAGCAAAAATATCATTTCGTGTTAAATTAAATTGCCTCGTAGAATAAGTAATGTTTTATGATTTGAACGTGAAAGAGAAAAAAAAAAGTACGTTCTACATACTTAATCGCAATATTTTACTTGTAAACAGCGACGAGATACAAATGTTGACCATGAAACGGGATATCTTGGAGCAGAACGTCGAGCTTTTGCGGGATCAGCAGTTACCGGCGATAGTGCAATACGCGGAAATGGAGACGATAAAGATCCTGAAGAACGACGCACTCGCCCGTCTCGAGCGGAGGAAAGCCCGCCTCGAGAAGCTCAAGAATTTACATTCTCTCGCGGGGGAGCACGGACACGTTCACGTGGACCTGCTGTGTATGTTAATGGAAATGCAATTTCGCTGCCTGCGCGAGGTTGCCGAATTCATCGCCGACGCTCGTCATTACATTGTCACGGAATACAAGCTCTCTTCGGCGAGATGCGTTAGTAATTAACGATATTTTTTTCGCACTTTCTCTCAATTCGGTGTTTTAATGGAAATAATAATTTTCGCTCATTCGTAGAAATAATACTTATTTATAATGAATAAATGCGTAGGAAGTGATGCAGCAGGAACAGGACGAATATGCGAGCCTCGTAACGCAATCTTCAAAAGCGTACAACGCGTTTAAACGAATATTCATATCCATGATGCTCGGTGACGATGTCCCGGACGATGTCTCGCTCTCTACCGCGTTGAAAAGATACGATGATTTATTAGCCGACAACGCGGAGAAGAAGAAATCGATATTGCAAACATATCTGACTAATAACATCGACAAGTTACAGAAGTTGTAAGTGTCAATAATTTCATTAATTTTATTATTAATATGATAAGTTACAGAGGTAACAGAAAAAGGTATATTTCTGTGACTTTAGGGAGAATGAAATTAACAAGGATTACACGGCCGAGACGCAAAATGGACCGACGATCAGCCTCAAGCCGATCTCATTTGAAATAAGCTCCAAGTGCGAGGAAATATCCGCGAGCGTTCAAGAAGTGCAAAAAGATATAACAAAGATCAGGAGTCGGTTCAAGGAACGAATGGTACGGCGCTATTTAAACTAAAATTGAAATTAATTTTCATGAATTAGAATTATATTCAAATAAAATTTTTAGTTTTAATATGTAATTTATTTATAATATTTGATGACTTCGAAAATTATATTTCTTATTTTAAAATAGCCCTAAAAGATTCTTTACATTTTTATACTTTTATTATATTTAAATATATTTAATAGTTTGTGAAAATCATGCGACATTTGCTAATATAATTCTCGCATTGCAGAGGATGGACGCCAATCTGGAACGCGAGAAGGACATTTTGTGGCAGAGATTCTTGGCAGAACCCGATACGTTAAGAATGGGATACGAGGAAGCGAAACGAAAAGCGAACGAGTCTCACTTCGGAGAGGACGGCGTAGAAAGTAAACCGAGTCAGTAAATTGACGAATTTACAAAATCAATGTTGTACAGGAAGAAGAGTGAGTTGTTCAATATAGATTTATAATAATAGTACGCTTGTGTATTTTTATACTGGTTTTTTTATATCAGAAAAAGAATTATCAAATTCAAGTAGCACAAAATACATAACGATGATCAGGAGTTAGTTCATAGAACGAATGGTACGGCTATTTAAACTAAAATTTAAATTAATTTTTGTTTAAATAGCGTCGTACCATTCGTTCTTTGAATTGACTCCTGATCCTCGTTATGTCTTTTTGTGTTATTTGAATTTGATTTATTTCTTTTCCGATTTAAAAAAAACTGACCCTCGTTATATCTCTTTGCACCTCTCGAGTCTTATAATTCTTTTTCTAAAGGTACTATTATACTATGAATCTATTATATTTATTATGAATCTGTTATATGTATTATGAATCTATTATATGAATTTGAAATCTGTTTACGGTAAAATGCCAAGCCACTCGTTTCCTCCGTACACACACATTAGCCCCTCGTCCTTCTAATTCTTTTAAGTTATTAAGAGGAAACCCGATCGCGCCGCCGAGTTTTCGCGGAGACGTAATACGCGCGGAGCATTACGTGGACGCGATAATGAATGATTCGTCCCAAGGACGAGTGTGTGTGTGCGTGCACGCTGGGCGCACGCGCGTATAAACACGACGAGGGATGACGTAGAGGAGGTGCCCGAGTGTAACCTTGATCCGCGCGCATCGACGTCCCCTCCCTCCCTTCCTCTCGTTCCAGCCTCTTCTGTTCTCTCATCGATATGTTGCTCGTCCGTCCTTCTCTTCTCTCCCCCACCCCTCCATCCCTTTGTCGCAAATTTCGTTCAAAATCACGAAGCTTCCAAGAGAGTTTGTACATATATGCATGTATATACACATAAAAGAGGATTATAAGAAAACGCCTCGCTTATGAAACGCCCGTTTCGAAGGCGTCTTATCGGCCTCGTGGCGTATTCCTCGCGCGGACACGACAAAGGCGTTTTTGCGATCGCCAACGAAGCGTGCTTGCTTTCTTGGCGAACGCGAGGCGGGAGGGAGGGAGGGAGGGAGAAAGGCGAAAGAGAAGAGAGAAACACGGAACGGGGAAGTGGCGAGGCGAGGAGTATTATCGATTCGCCGGGGACCCCGTGAGTTAACGGTTTGTTTACACGAGCCGGCGGGCGCGGGGCGAGACGGGCGCCGCGCGCCGGCTCGCTCGGGCCCGCGTCGGCCGGCGGGCGGGCGGGCGGCGGGGTAGAGCCGAGCGGGGCGCATGCGCCGCCCGACCAAAACAATAATAACAGAGTAGAAGGTTCATGGCTGGCGGACGTACACGGGCGGCCGCTCGCTCTTCGCTCTCCGTGCTCGCTGAAGCCTGCCGCTGCTCTGGCGCGCTGCTCCGCTCCGCGGCGGTCAAGTGATCGGAGGGCCCCCGTGTTGCGTCGTGTCGACGACGGCGGACGGTTGTGTGTCGCGCGCGGTGAAGAAACACACGCCAGGTAAACAAAGGAGCAGGCGCGCAGCGCGCGTATCCCGTTTTTTTAACGCGCCGCGCGTATTACCGCCCGTGCGTTTTATCGTACCCCCGCCGTCGGGTGGGTTAATCGCGCCGACTCCTCGCGGAGAGCGGAGTTACATGTGAGGGGACAAACGCGAAGTGCACCGAGACTACCTCGAAGTCGGAGCGACGGAGGTTTCCACGTTTCCGACTGACTCGTATACGAGCTGACATTTAAATCGAGACTGCGGAGAGCCGTTCTCGGCCGAGTAAACAAGTGGAATTGCAAGTGGAGCAACGAGCCGCGTTGGAATTGAGACTACCTCAGGACGACACAAGGGAGGACAAGAGGCAGGGGATTGTAAATAGAAGAAATCGCGGAGATCGGAGGAATCCCGTCGGCTGGTGTGTATATTCGAAAGCTGGAGCGCCGCCGCCGCGCGTGAGAGATACCATCTTCCCGTCGGGCCAAAATAATAATCACTCGCTCTCTCCGTGTTACCGAGCCTCCTCGTTCTCTCCCACCCCCTCGGCGCGTTACCTCATCGCGGAGCGGAGAGTAGTAGGTGCGTGTAACGAGCGTATGCGCGCGTTGTGCAACCCGCGCCGCACCGATCGGAGAGGAGAGCGAGCGAAGGAGCGAGAGAGAAAGAGAGTCACACATTCGGGCGCAAGGCACACTGTGTGTGTGTGTGTATGTGTGTGTGTACGTTCGATCGGCCTGGAAGCAAAACAATGCGCTGCTGGTGTAGCGCGCAGTGGTGAGAGGAGGAGCTCTCTGTGTGCGCGTGTGCCTGTCGCTGCTGTGTGTATATATACGTGTACCTGCAGCTGCTCTGGCCGTGCGACGCGGCGCGCGCGCTAGTGTGCGTTTGTTTATGCGCGTAGATTAGCCGCACGCTCGTACTCGCGGCGCGGGGCCGTTCATTCAACAGCCAGCCGCGCTTCGACGCGCGCGCGAGACTCTCCGTGTAAGCGCGTACTCGCGTTTCGCCGACGTTTCGAGAAAGCATCCAGAGGAACGGTGACGGATATCGCCCGCCACCGCCGCGCGCGTATTTACCGAGTGAATCATACGCGTCCCCGTTGGATTACGCACGTCGGACGCGCCTGTACGGATATATATACACCGCTACCGTGTGTTATTGTTGACGTGTATCGACGACGACGTCGTGCGAGTCGGAGCGCTAATCGGAGAACGACCGCGGTGGTTACATAGTTTCCGTCGTGGGAAACGGGGTCTCACAGTCTCCCCGCGCTGAGATTTTTCTCTCATACACAAGAAGAAACTCTGTTTACCCTGGAAGGGAGAGTGCAGTGCGTTCTCTCTCTCTCTCGCTCTTCCCACTTATTCTGCCTGTTTATTATATCGCAGGGGACCGTCGACTCAGGTAAACACCGAAGGAAGGAAAGAGAGAGAGGCGAAGTATCGTCGGCGTGAAGAAGAGAGACAGACCTCGGTGAAAGAGCGAGACGGGAACGTCGGCGATTAGAAGGAGAGAGGACAAAAACATACACAACAGCTCCGAGAGAAACCGTCGAGTCCCCATTGCACAGTCTGTTTGGTACGGGTCTAGGTGGTTGCGTGCACCGCGTGCAAGAATATCCGTGTGTGTCCAGAGAGAGAGAGAAAGAGAGGTAGCGTGAAACCGCGGAGAGGATGCCGAGCGCCGAGGAGACGACGTATCTGATCGGCGTGATGCCGGACGGCGCGGCGCAGGCGGACGCGTTCCTGACGCGCGACGTCGACCTGCTGGTGTCGCAGATCAAGGAGAACCTGCGGCTGTCCAGCCTGAAGGCCAAGTCCAGCATCAGCCACAAGAACAGCCGGCCGTCGCCGTACCGGGTGCCGGCGCGTTCCTGGGCGGACCCGGTGGCCGGCTGCGAGATCTGCGGCCTGCGGTCGAACGGCCAGCAGCAGCAGCAACAACAACAACAGCAGCAGCAGCAGCAGAATCACGTGACCGCCGGTCAACATCATCACCATCACCACCACCACCACCACTATCACAGCCATTTCAAGAGGAGCGAGAGAAGGGTAGACGACGACCCGTACGAGGTGCTTCAGGAGCTGCTGCGCGAGGGCGGCCTCATCAAGGAGGCGGTCAAGAGGCTGCAGGAGAACCTCGACGAGCTCTCGAGCTCGGAGGTCGACGAGGACGACGTGGTGGACGATGAGGACGACGAGGTGCGACGGCCCGGCGGCGGTTACCGCAGAAAGCCGTACTTCTACGACTCCGAGGACGAGCCGTTGCCGCCGATGTACGAGCCCCTGGAGCTATGAGGCGTCCGACGGCAGCAGCGACGCCTGGGAACAACTTTTACCACGGACGTTCCTGCGTGAGGCACGATATGCGCATTCTTCTCCGCGACCCATTCTTTTCCTTTCTTTCTTCTCGCGAGGAAGGGTCGAGATTTTTCTAGAACGCTTTTCAAAGGGCAGAGGGGGGGAAACGCTTCCTTTGTGCGACACGGGACGGAAAGTGTCTCGAAAGTGGATCAGAGAATTCCGTCGGAAGGAGGAAGACGATAACGAAGAGTATCCTGTGAGAACACGTTTCCCTCGTCTGCTCCCCGCCGCGTGGGAGTCCCGGGCCCGACGGCCGCGACGATGACACAGTGTGCGTGTGCGCGTGTAGACACAATTAGGCGAGAGCTCGCCTTACATGGCCGTGTTTGTAAATACGCTGCGTTGTCGGCGCTGCGCGATAGCGCTACGCCTCGCCGCCGCGCTGTATCGACGCCCCGCGCGCGGACGGACCTACGTGGAAGACTTATGGCCGCCGAGCCGAGACCCGAGCGCGGCCCGTCGCCGCTCGACTCGCTTCACCCACCGTTCGAAGCTCTGTACGCACGCGAGATGTTGTTCCTTTCCCCGTGCTGTTCCACATCGCGTACCTCAGATCCATTTGTTAAAAATATCGCTCTGGCGAACTTAACGCTCGTAATCGACGTGACGACCTCAACGCGTCGTCCTCCGCGTTCAGAAGCCATACGCAACACATGTTCCTTCCTTTTTTTTTTGTTTTTCCGGTCGGTACTCCGTACCGTGATTAACGATGATTATCGATATTCCGAACTATTAAGAAATATCACCGGCGATAATCGCAGCGCAAAGCCGATAGAATTCTTTATATGTATATATTTTGAAGTATTGGAAAACGCGCGTGTGTGTATATATATCTATACATACACGTATAAAATGTATATAATATATATAAATTTGTTGTTGTTCTACGTGGTATCTCGTAGTTATTAAAATATCGGCAGATATCGTTATCACAGCGTGGAGTGCCTGTAACATAACTGATTCATCATGAAATCCGTGATTAACGCTTCAAATGCTGAGCGAATAGAGGTGATTAAAAAAAGATATGTGACAATATTATTTTATATAATACGATATTTTACTTGACAAAGCTCTGCTGGTTAGAGATTTATTATTTCTTCGACTTCGCTTGATGGAAAAAGGGGTTTATATCTAAGAAAGTTTTCAACGTCCTCGTTACTGTAAAAAATAATCGCCAATTACGCACGTTCGTACGGCATTTGAAGAGTTAATCTAGCACGTCATCATTCGTCATCTCGCGCGGACTGTCTTGGCTCGAGTTGCATAAGAAGTCTGTGTTAAATCAATTCCGAGTAAGCGAGACGCGCGCTGTTCGTCGACGCTTGTCTCGATTGTAGCATTAAACGGAGAAAGAAAGATCTAATAAAAAGTTTTAGTACAATCGTATTTGTGTAATAGTGCAATTGTTTGTTTTATATAATTGGAGTTTGTTTGCGAGTGGCACCGGCGGAGGATTTACAGTTTTAATCCTCAGAGATAACGACCTCGTATAGCTTGGCATAATTAAAAAAAAGAAAAAAAAAGAGAGTTTACAACGTGCCTCGGATACCGTAAACACAGCGAGTACCGCGAAGAAATAGCTGTTAATTAGTTTGTAATTATTATCATGTGACAGCCTCTCTCTCTCGTGAGTCTGCATTATTAAACGTGAGTCTGCCGTTCGAATTCGAAGAACGCGCTGTCGCGCGGGAACTCTGTAATCCTCTCGAAAGCACAATGTCTGTCTCAATATTCCGCCGCGTCGGTCGAGCCCGTGCCGTTAAAACGGCAATAGGTCTTGCCCGCCTATCGATTTGCTAGCGCTGAATTCGTTATCTCACGCGACGCACGTGAACGTTCGCGTCGACGTTCTATAAATGGTGAGACTTTCCGTTAGAATCAGAAAATGCCACCCGCAAAGAAACCGCCGGAGCGCGACGAAGGCGAGTCGTCGTCGTCGTCGTAGCTTTCCAGAGAAAAAAAAAGTCTGAGAGCTAAAGAGAAAGATCTCCGCGTTGTCGCGAATTAATTTGCAGGATTTTCTCAAATTTTTAAATTCGGCACTTTTCTTTCTAGCACCGCAGTAGCACAGACTTCGAGGCTATAAAATTTGTACCGAGCACGTGCGAGTAGAGAGAGAGAGAGAGAGTGTGTGTGAAGGGAAGAGGAGAGGAAGAGTACACACGAGTATCGAAGATACTCCTCAAGCTGTTAAACAAGGACAATCAGATCCTGGGCCCCCAGGATTACATACACAGTTCCACTTCGAGTGAGTAAACTGCGATGTTCGCAGCCGATTCAACGATTAATTATATATATTAACGATGCCTTTGCATTGCGTGGCGGAAGTATTAGGGGCACAATGCGCCACGGAGAGGAGGACATACAAGAGACACGGTGATCTCATTTATTTTTTCATGATGCGCGCAACGAGCGGGCCACGGGCCCGCCGATCGATGCGAGGCGAGATCATTGATAGTTTAGCGTATATAGGCTCGGTTTAGTTCCCGACAGCTGCGTCCTTAATCCTAAAGGGTACAAGATACTGTCTGTCCGTTCGGCGAAAAGCGGAAGCAAGCGAGTGGGGGGAGTGTTACTGTTGGCTAGGAGAGGGAGGTCGGCGGAAGCTTTACACGAAGACGCTCACGTCCGCGAGGAGCGTGTCGTGAGAATCGGACTGACAATTCGTTGTACAAACGGAGGTTTCCGTCGCCCAGGCTGAGTATGGGCGATTTTGTCTCATTTATGAAATTGTATATCGAGGAAGGAGCGATTTTTTTGAAAATTAGCGAAAGACTGCGTTGCGAGGTGAAGGAGAAATCTCTACGGGATTCCGATTCGTTGTATCGTTTAGGATAAAACGCGCTGGAGTATTAACGAAGAGACGTGTAAGAATGTCAAAGATTTAGATAATGTCCACGTTGCGGGGAATCTCCGCGGGAGGGAAATGAAAAAAAAAAGAGATGGTCGGAGGGAGGAACCGCGACCGCGCGTTAACGTGGATCTGTATAATAATACATTTAGCTTTATATCCCTTTCTCTGTGCATGTTTTAGTGCATAGTTACTTATCGCTATCGATCGCTAGAGGAGAGACACGCTGTGTGTTGTTGTGTAAACATACATTGTATCCGCACGTACAAGATATACGCGTGCGTTGCACGAGTTCGCGCGGCGAGATGCTGCTCCATCGTCGCGTGATTCATTTCATCGCGGGTTTAAAGATAAGGGAGGGAGGAGCGAGAGAGAGAGAGAGAGATATCCGTAATACGAGAATCCCTACGAGGCAGCAGTGACGTCACGGGTTGACATAATTACAAAGAGGACTATTACTCCTCGCGATAATATCGCCGTGATGACGCGCGGTGCCGCTTATTACTAATTTCTCATCGCGCGAGGTTTCTATTCCGAAATCTCGCAATCAACTCGAGGAAGGAGCCCTCGATTATTCCCGGGAGCGCGCGCGAGTGACGTCACGGCTGCAGCGTCCGGGATTTTATTGTACACGTGGCGTAAAACGCGGTCGCGGCGGCACACATACACACACAAACACACGAATGACGCAATAAAACGACACACTTGTATGTATAGCGCGACACCCGTAGGATTCGAAGAAACGAGGGATCGTTTCGTGGCTTCGGGGGGGTCGGTCTCGCGACGACGGTTTTTGCCGCCTTATCCGACTAATTAGATAAGCTAGCAATTAGTTACCGCGCGTACCTATATTGCGAGCGGAGCGAACGAATTGCGTCAGGATTCCACTGTTCCGGACGGGGATGCCTGTGTGCGTGCGTGCGTGAGCAGTGTGAGTGCGTGCGTGAGCAACGTGAGTGCGAGCGAGAGCGTGCGTGGGAAGAGCGTTGCGTTAGTCACTTCGTTCTCTTTTTCCTCTCTTTTTTTTTTCTACATGAGTGAGCGCAATCCTTCGTTCTTTTCTATAAGTTTTCGTCGTTAAAGAACCGTGCATTATGGAAACTATATCTCGTTGTGATCGCGCCGGGCTCGCACGTCCGGCAAGTCTTAATTAAATGAAAAAAATAAATAAAGTTCAAAGTTTCGATGCAGACAGTGTGTGTATTGTCTATATGTTTTCATGCCGCGTAAGAGAGCGCGCGCGTTTCGTGTTCTCGCATATATACTATTGACCGCGCGCTGTCACGCGAAAACTTTCCACCGATCGTCCAGTCTGCCGCCGCTTCTCCTATGGTTCTCCCGCTGTCTTCCCCGGTCTCGCTTCCCTCTTCCTTCCACCGTCGTTCCGTCGTCGACATCAAACGGTTTCGCCTGATGTGCCAGCGTCTGATGACGGAGCGTGCCGCAAATACACGTATCGCGGATATGCGCGCGCGCTCTGGTATTATACGGGACGTCTTGTCATTACCGTTCCTTCCTTCGCTTCGCTCGAAGGAAAATTTCGCAAGCTAATCGCGGAATCGTTTAACGTGCGTCTCGCCGGATCTGCTCACTCGCGCGTAAACAGATGACAGAAAACGTCTCACCTTTAATATACGTAATCCAATATTTCGCATGGATATTTCCAACTTCGCGACACCCGAGGCGTTTAGGACGGATGCCTGTACGAAATTTATATCTTGGGACAATATTGACTCAACGTATCGTCAAATGAAGTCACCGTGAGGAACAGCAATGTATACGGTAACGGGACACCCCGTATAAGCCGGCAGTTCACTGGCCTTCTGATCGTTGGCGCGCGTTAAAGCTGGCTCCTATACGTGCCAGCAGCACCTAGAAGATTTGCTTTCAGCCGCGCAGCTGTATGTAGCTATAGCATTACTCGCTGATCTATCTTGCGTTGGTAGTAACCGCGAGAGATAAACCGTCGCGATATTACGCGGAAACCGCGATATACTCGCCTCCTCGGATTTTTCCCAGCGGATTCTGCTATCGCGGTGGACATTTCCCCCCTCCCCCCATCCGCTCCCTTTCAGCGTTTAATATCCGTATCCCTTGGTCGAAAAAGCGACTTTCCGATGATATCGGCGCTGCGATATCCGAAAGCTCGCGGCGTTGACGCGTATAACATGTAGCAAAAGTGGACTGGTATAGGGCGAGTGCCATTTCACAGTAATTTCCGCAAAAGCGTCGACTGCAATAATGACGGTAATAACCCAGCGGTAAATTATGGCTTTTGGAGGTCTTAGAACGGATGTAGAACGATACCGGCGCGTTTTTTACGAGTCATTTTGTCCGACGCCTCTGACCTGAAACCGACGGTATAATACGAACAAGAAAGAGAGAAAGAGAGAAAGAGAAAGGGGAAAAGGGTCGGTCGTCAATTTCAGGCAGGCAGGTCATTTAATAATTGGCCGCTTTCGGAAATTAACGGCAGCTGCCTCGCCGGCACGTAACGGCGACGCAATTGTTGTTTCGTCGCCTTGCGTAATGAAACGACGATTCATTATTTCGTGTCTAGAGATTTTTAATTTCGCTGTGAATCGTTATACATATATAATATGACGTTCACTTCCTGCAATATTTATTTTCTAACATCTCAATTATTTTATAATTAACGTACCTAATGTATAATTATTTTTTCTTATTAATACAGATAATTAAAGATATTCTCTCTTGGCTTCGATAATTTTCGAATTTTTACGATTCGCTGCTCGCGAAATGTGTGTTATATTGAGGGTAATATATATTTTTTTATCGCAACGCTAAAAGTTGAGAGGGATCAAGCTTGAGGGTCGAACTTGACCTCGAGAAAAGTCAAATGTCATCGTGAGACACGGGGACTCGCGAAAGCGGGAGATTGGAGCCGATGGGAGTCGGCTGCTTTTCGCGAAGTCACCGCGCGTCCGCGAAATCCGCGTTCGCCGACGAAGACGACGACGACGGCGGAGACTTTGATCGAATGACTGGCGACATTTCTCGGTGTTTGCGGCAAACGCAAACGAGAACTCGGAATAAATCGGGTCGAATAAATAAACGTCAGCACCACAGGTTCGATGTTTTTACGCGCGTTCGCGCGTAATGCATGCGTACGTGGTGTATACATTATTCGGACTGGGATTGCGAGGTCTTAGCTAACGAAGCGACCCGTTTTCGTCAGCGCCGCGACGACCTGTCGCAACGACCTCGCGTCTTTATTACCGCGCGTACACATGTATTTTCTTGCCACTATTATGCAATTAGAACTTTCCCGAAGGTGATCGCATTTGCCGCGATACCGGCCGCCTATCGCGTAACCGGGGTGTAATCAATGAGTACGCGCGCGCGTGTGTACCGCGCATTACCACCGGCCGGCCGGCCGGCCGCGCGAAAATAAACGGCGGAAAACTTGGCTCGGTCTGACCCAATTCAAGAAACGTCCATTTATATTGTATACGTTTGTCCACCATCTGGCGTTCCGCGCGCGCGCGCGCGCGCACACGCGAACACACAGATGTTAATTTTGCATTAATGCAGAACGCTTTCGCGCGCGAGAGCAGCGACGATAGATGTAAGTCGAATTGAACAATAAACGCGGAGAAGTCTCTCGAAACCGAGAGACGCGCGAGAAGTTTCGACCGGATGTTTCGCGATACGATGAGTTTCTTGCTATCGTACAGCGTGGTATTTTTAGCGGCGGTGCGTTTGTGATATCTCGCCGTATATCCTTATCAGATCGGGTTTCGCAAAGATTCACGCGAGCGCGCGCGAATGCTCTTTTTCTTCGGTCAAAATGTTCAATTTTTCGAAGATGCACGACGGCCTTGACGGTTATCCGATGTGTGTACATATATATGTATATACACGTGTTAAAACTTCGGTCGCGATATTAACACGTAATTTAACTATCTGTACGATAAAACGTGGACGCCCCCGAGGCCTCGATAAAAGAATTGATTTCTCGTTGTATCGAGGCTTTTCAGGCAAAACCAGATAAAAAGCAACGGGAATTATAGGCGACAAGCCCGGGCAATCAATACAAACGAAATCACCATTTATCGTTTCTCCTTTTTTTCCACTCTGCGAAGTGGGGCGGGAAATCTGCATTCTACATCAGCACAATTTGTTTAATTGATTTCGCCGTCGGCCGCGATGCTTTTTATCACGTTTCGCGCATTGGCAAATAGGCGCCTTATATAATATACGTGTAACGCTCGGGCGACCTTCGGGCAAGGCCTTCGGGCTTGTCGTTAGTAAACTGAGAATAGGATCCCGACATCGGCGGCCGAGAGTTCGAAAGAATACCTTGCGCTATAAATGTATACGCGAGACGGCGTTGCGTCGTAGTTTTTGCTCGGTGATGCGCCGTTTTTCTTGGCGAAAAAAAAAGGAAGCAGCGGCAGGAATGAAAAATAAAATCGTGTTTCGAGATATTTTGGAATTCCGATAATTTTTTGATATGGGGGAGGACACCGCTGGGACAGTCGGAAACTTGCGTGCGGCAAGTGATACGTGGTGTATACACGCGGTGAATCAGACCTTTCCTAATGAGTCATCGGCCGCGAGTTTTCGATTCGCCTCTCGGTCCCGACATCCTTTCGGTCGTACCGAGAAACGCCGTGTTGATGTTACATCATCCGTCATCCCGAAATGCACATCAGAGATAACGCGACAAATCGAACTCGCGCGCTTATCGTGATAATTATTAACAACGCCACGCGATGTTTCGACGAATCGCGGAGATGTACTCGAGGATTGCCTTATCTCGGCCGGCCTCGTTGAATCGGGTCTAACATTGTTATATTTTTCCACTGCGCCGGGATTGCGTGGAGCGACCCGGTCGTTTCGATAGCGATCTCCGCGCTGATCTCACAGATCGGCGCGGAGTTAACGGCACGGCCGCGAGTCAACAATTCGTCTAATAACAGATATCGGCCTTGTCCGTGTGTTGACACAGATTTCGGCGCGAGATAGCGAACGCGATGCGACCCACTTGGACAAGAGAGAGAGACAGGAAAAAAAGAAAGAGATGTGCGCGAGATAGCCGGTTATACTCGTTAAGATCGCTCGCCTTCCGGTGATCGGATAAATGCAGGAAAGATTATACGAGCATTGATTGATCGAACGAAAATACGAGAATATATATTTTCGGAGAATATTTTCTGAACGTTATAAGCGAGTTACGCAAAAAAAAAAGACTCGTTCCGTCGCTCTTCGTTATTCGTTTAACATTTTAACATAAATCGAGCCTGCTAGGACAGGGTAAAGATTCTCTCTCTCGTAATGCGGCGATTTGCAGTCTGGATGCCTTCGAAAAAAAAAAACAAAAAAAAAACGTAAACACCAGGCCCGGCATTTTGTCGGCGAGCCGTTGCGTGAAACGCGTCATCGGCCGCGGACGGGCACGACGGCCCGTCTCGGGCTTGGTCGGCCGGCGTCGGCCGAACACGTGCCGCGGCGACCACGTGACCGCGCGCCGAACTGTCAGATGTGCGCGGCCGGACTGTCGTATCTCGTTGTCACGCGGCGATAACGAATACTCCGATACGCGCGATTCGCGGTCCGTATAAAGAAACACGGAACACCGTGCGCCCAGCGCAGTGACCACCTGGACCACCGTCCTCGCCGATTCCGCGGGCCTGACGCTGTCTCTCCGTGTTTACACCCGAGGACTACGTCGACGCAGCCGCGCGACCGTGGCCAGGCCAGCGACGCTTCAGCACACAACAAACACCTGCGAGCGAGCAACATGGCGGCGGAGTGCAGCCGCGCGAACTCGTACGTACATACAAACAATACATCGCGATTCGTATTTATATATTTACGCCGTGTCATTGCCCTTCGTGGAAGTAGGTTTAATCGCCGCGTCAACGTTTTCCATTCGGGACTCGAGACTCGCGGAGCCGCGCCGCGTCGCGCCGCGTCTCCTCGGCGAGAATCCACCCAAATCCACCTCGACGAGAATGATGTATTGTCTCTCCGTTGCTTCCGACGGAGCAAATCGGAGTAATCGGAGCGATCTCCTCTCTCCGCGTTTACGGCACGGAGAATCGAACTCCTTTCGAAATCATCGGTCTCGCGAGCCGTGTGAGCGAGCGTTTGCGGCAATCTCCCAGCATCGTCGGTTCGATCGCGGTTGGAATGCTCGCGCGCGAATAGGTCGCGGATCGAATTGCGAAATCGCGAATTGCGGAGCTCGCCCCGTGGCTCTTGGCATCACGACTCTTTTTCCGTTTGCCCGTCCGCGTTCGCTTTCCCTCCCCTCCCGACTCGCTCGCGGCCTGGCTGGATTTTGAGGTTAGGCGCGCGGTTACAGCCGTGTTCCGCGCTCCGTTAGGTTCTCGTTGACCCTTGGACCGTCTGATAACAGTATTCATGCACGAGATGTAACGATGGGTTGGGCCGTAGAGGCAAGCCTATACGGCCTCAACTATACGTCGCGTATATAGTAGTAGGTCAAAATAATTGACGGCGTATCTTCTTCACGTTGATTGATTCGCCCTTATAGCAGATCGGCGAACCGCCGTGGAGCATCCCCTAAATTATTCTCGTCTGTTACACGTTCCGTGTAACGTGTTTTCATAAGAAAAATATGATTTGACGCGCCGCAGCTTGGCTGGACTATATACGCTTAACACTGGCACTTGTTGACGGACGTGACGTATCTTCATTTCGCGGAGAACAGCGGCGGGCTCTTCGTAGAAAGCACGACCGCGCATATAAGAAGGTTTCTAGGTTGCCCGACTTGCATGCGGAATTTAATGACGGCGTTGTTTACGTTTGCATTGTTCGTAATTATGCTAAGCACGTGGCCGGGCGTTTCGCGCGAGCGACTCGACTCTCGCGTGGAAGCGCGGCCTCTCTTAAAAATACACGCAGCTCTCTTTTTGCATTCTTTACATAACGGTTTCCGCGAAATCAGCGTTTAACTTTCCTGCGGATTATTTATAGTTTCGGCAGCCGATTCGAACAACGCCATCGCTTCCAAAACAGTTGTCCGAAGTTTCGCGATCGGAGTAATTCTTTTTTTTTTCTTTTCTTCGCCGGGAATTCAAATTGCCGGGAAACTTTTTGTCACACGTTTCTTTTCCCCTCTGTATTACAACACATTATCGAACGTCTGCCCGGTTTTGCAAAATTTCGGAGCAGAAAAATCCGACTCGCTGCTTCTGCTCCAGTCTGTTTCTCGATGACGTAACTGGAGTAGAACGGAGGTTCAAGGTACTATCCGAGTCTTTCTTTTTGCAGCTGCGGTCGCGTGATATTATGTACGTCGTATCGCACTTACGGTAAACAAAACGGCGGCTCGTTATCGGCGTTGTTTACAGACGGCCCCCGAAATTTCGGGCCGCTCCGCACCGCACTCGCCTGTTTTTTCTCTCTTCTTCTTTTTTCAACACCCGACGTACGTTTTTACGTAATGCATTTTTAAACTGGCGCGCGTTCCATTCCTCTCGTTCGATAAACAATGCTGTTATTTGTCTGTCTGCACGTCGCGTGATAAGATTACGATTATAACGTATAGCGCGAAAAAGTTATAAGATTGTTGCAACGTCAGGCAAAACAACGCAGAGTAAATGAGCATCCTCAAGGAAAACGACGTAATCTTTTTGCTCGCCGCGATTAGATAACCATGTCAATTTTTCTTTAATTGGAAAAGATGACGTAACGTCTCGCATACAATATAATACGACGTTACATTTTTTTTTTTTTTTTTTTTTTTTCGGAAAATAATTCGCGGAAAACGAACGCGTCTCGTCACGTTGCTTAGTCAGCTGCGTATAATTCTTTCACGCATATTTATCTTTATACCTTTTAAGAAGTTTCGCATTGTAAACACGTCTGCTCGATATTGCGATGCGAATTTTATTTGCATAGTCCAACAGACAGAACGATGTTAATTAAAGGTTAAGACTCGTGACTATGGACTGTGCGCGTTTGTTGTGTCTGGAATGCTTCACTCTGCGCGAGAGCGTATACGCGCAGTATTTTCACGATGGCGTATTTCGCGTACGTAAACTCGAGGAAAGTCGACAACGCAGCGTTTATGCGTGAAACTAACGCAGAAGACACCGATCGTACCGTCGTGATCCGCGATACTTTCACTGCTTTCGTGAGCAGAACGTATTGTCCACTGTCAAGTAGCAGCTCTCTCTCTTTCTCTCTCTCTTTCTCTCCTTTTCTCTTCCTCCTACATTTCGATTTTATTTAAATTCCGAATAAAGTTAAAGATAACTGAGTAATTTATAAACGCTGACATTTGCATGTATAATAGTATCGTTTGCGTCAAGAAAAATCGATCGAATAATATTTATAAATAATTATAAACGCATGTATATCGTTGCATATATACATATGCACGAATTTTCCTCCCGCGCTGTTTCTCTCTCTCTCTCTCTCTCTCTCTCTCTCCGGTCGTCACTGCCAGGTTAAATATAACTTTCGAGTAGACATTAAAAGTGACGCGCGATCGCTGCGCGCGGCTAAATTAGTATACGCGCGGAATTTAGGGAAGCTTAAAACGCGGCAGCGACGGCCACGGGGTTGCAGAGGGTTAAGTATAGCGTGCGCGGCGGCGTACACATTACCGCGCGTGTATCTCGTTAACGTGCTCCAAGTTTCCTGTGCTCGCCGTCACGCATTTTGTCTCAAGGGGATATATAGTAGAACAAGAATTGTGTCAGTCAAGAGGCGCGAGTCGTCCAATGACACGGCTTAAAATACGAACCGAATACGTATACCTACGCGAGGCCGCACACGAAACTGCTTCTCTCTCTCTCTCTCTCTCTCGCTCCTTCGTGAGAATAGACGTCGCGTCTCGAGTGTTCTATTTATGCTCGTGCTGTGTAATTACTATATAGCTGCCGAATATCGAGCACGTCGTCTTACAACGCGCGATCTTATTACAGGCATCACGAAGAGCCTTTCGTTCTTTCATCACTGAAACGCGAGCCTCATTCAGGAATATCATTATAAAGTTTTCTTCGAACAATTCTGAAGTGACATAGATATTAAAATTTGTAAGAGCAAGTAATATAATTTCTTTCAAAAAATTCCGGCTGATAAATAGACATTTCAGTCTTCTCATTAAAGAATTAAGTTGTATTATTTTTAAATATACAGAAATATGCTAATTAAACATATGACTACCGGCGGTTTTCTTCTACGCGGTTTTTTACCTTTCCGCAGTCATCTTTGTTCGAGATTTATTCGAACCGGAGCCGCGACGAATGCGCACAAGAAAGATCTCACGAAGCGCACGACATCGGAATTAATTCAATTGTACGTAAGGTACTTTGTGCGTCAATTCTATTGTGTGTTTGCTTTGAAATTTTTTATCTATAGGACTTTCTTGTGTGCACGATGACGCTTTATCATGCTCGTGATGTAACTCTTATGAGTCACCTAAATATTAGTGTTCTAAAACCGCTGCCGTTATAGTGGAGCGAATTGATGTGCTAAACGTGCAGGGCAATCAGCGCGCGGCTACTTTCTTTTTAGAAAGTTTTAGCGATATTATCGGAAGCAAAGTAATTATTTGCGAACAGCGTAACGTGAAGAGATACTATTCAGTGCTTTAGCTTTATTTATGATTTTCAATAGAGATAACTTAGTCATTTGAGACATTTAGTGTTAAAGTTTTAGTACGAAATCGAAACATTCTCATTTCTCATTAACGTAATCTTATTAGAGCATAATTATAGATTCATTTCCAATTTTTTTCCTTTTCCGATAACGTTTCACTAATCTAAGAGTCGTAATTTCAGAAACCCGCACTTTTGGCGATCCAGCGAGACTCTGAAAGTGCCGATGTCCCTTTTTCGCAATAATCGCGAACGACTGCTCTCACGTCTCCGTGCGCACGGTGAAATCATTATCCAGAACAGTTTCGTCGTTCTCCAAGGTGGCACAGAGATTCCCTTCAACGAAACGGACATAAATTGGCCCTTCAGACAGGTGCGTATTCATATGCTGTTATGCCTTTCTTGTTAGATTGAGTTGAAAATGTAATTGATTCGAATATTTCAAAACGCGTCAGCTTAAGATCCAAATTTTTCAGGCAAAGCGCACTAAAAAGTCTTTTTTTTAAATTTTTATAAGATAATAGAACTTTGGATCTTAATTTTGGACTTAACTTAAATTGCGAATTTAGATGCGGTTTTCGTAGTCTTATCTTACCAGAAGCAATCTTTTTCAATAAGAATTTTGTCCGTAAAAGACCAATTTATTATATCGCCGGATTTTGTACCGTCGTTCACGATCCTCCGACACAAGACTCGCGTGAAACGTGAACACAGAAAAAGAGATCATTTTTCCTATGCGAAATCTCAGAAATACCGTGTTTTCGGACAAAGCAAAGTCCGCGGGGAAATTCCGAAGATTCAGCCACAATTATATACGTGGTCTAACCGGGTATTTGTGTATTCGACACGTTCCTGCGCTAGTAATAGTTGTAAAGACAATTGAACTTTGCCGCGAGGTATTCAGGTAGCCCAGTTGCCACCGGTGTGAGAAAGTTGACTTATTTCGACTCAGGGAGAACATTGTAGAGCCGCGCGAACTCAATCCGCGAATTGAATTCGCCGAACTCGGATTGCTTATCGCCATATGGCTGCGACTTGGGTACGAAGCGCAATGTTGGTAAATTAGTCATCGATAAGATTGGCACGATGAGTGTTACGCGCTGTTGCGAAAGTTTACACGTCGGAGTTAATTAACATTTTTGAAATTGCGCGCAAAAATAATTAACATTCCAATAATTATGTCAAAGAGAAAAAATTTTTACACTTTTTCATTATCGGAGCATGATTTATCCATGTTGCAGCGTAACACCGAAGCTGATAACAAACCGAAGAAAACGAGCGGTAATAAAATTAATTAAACGCCACGGGAGAACGCCACGGCTTACACGTGTCGCCTTGCACAAACTTGCTTGTAATTCATCGCGGTAGAATTTCTTTTTGGAACTCTCACTCTCTCGTGCACGCCCTGACTCTGATATCAGGTAATTTTACTAGACGCGAAAACCAAATATTATTATCTGGCGCGTTTTATCGCGTGATAAATATCGTGGAATTCTTACAAAGTAAAGTAAAACTGCACGCGCATATACGAGTTTGTCCTTCAACGATGATATTCTACTTTGCTTTATTATCCATACTGCTATATATTGTATATATAATGCAGAGTCACCTGCGCTTCTTGTTTCTTCGCTGAACTCTCACATTTTCTGAGATTAATTTAATTTCCGCGGTAACAGTAACGCGGCGATGATAATAATAATGCAGCAGATCAGAATGGAGATTTCTGTCGGGAGGGAGAGGGGAGGGGGAAGCAGCTCCGTTCGGAAGTTTATGAACTCTCTTTCTCTCTCTCTCTCTCTCGCGCGCGCGCCTCACATATGAATAACTGACTCCACTCTACCGGACTATTCTGGGTAGTAGATGGAGTTCCGCTGCATTTACAACGTCGTAAACACGTTCTCGTCGAAGCCGCGCCGAAAATCGACGCGACGAGCGACGATCCGGTCCGAGACACGCTCCTGGGGCGCGCAGACGGACGGACCCGCGGCTCTGGCAGATTGCCTTTAAAACCCGCTTTACTAGAACTGAGGTACCGTTCGGACGGCGCTCTCTACAAAAACACACCGGCCGCACTCCGTTCATCCGTCCGTATTCCGAAGCCGCGCGTTTGCACGCGCTTCTTTGTTGCGGCGACTGACCGTGAATTTTTCACTCGAGCCGCGCACACAAAGTAAAATTTTGCTCCATTTATTTCCCGATCACACTAGAAAGCTTATTTACCTATACATTAACATGTAATACAGCTTCCATTTACTTGTGTCGATATATTTTTATCTTCTGTTTACTTTTCACGTTTCTACGTTTCTTTTTTTATTAATTCTACGAGGGAAAATGTATAAGCACGAAAACATTTTTGCTGAGCGTGCCAGGTGCATATATGTTAAAGCACTTTCTGACACTGTGTTATTCCCATGCGAAATATACACACGTGTATACATATGGTGGAACTCGAGCCGATTGTTTCAACGCTCAGTGAGCGCACACTGATGCAGATGATGCAAACCGCTTATACATTGCTCAGAAATTTGTTCGTCGAGATTACGGCTATTGTTATCCTCGGTTAACATCTAAAACTAACGTTCCGACGCTTTTCGTCATTTCGCCGTGTGTAATTTACCCTTTAATTCACAAACCGCTAGCGTGCAATTCACGAGGCTGCGTTATTCAGGTTGGGTATGCAACCGCGGTTTCGGTTTTAATGATATGCATGTTGCATTCAATGTTTATCATGGATTGATAATCATACGCATTCAGCGTACTCGGCGTTAAACGTGATAGCTACACAATTCTCGCGACCTGAATTATATACTCGCACGCCTATACGAGAGATCGTTCTGCTTTACGGTAAATTCGTACGGTAAATTTTCGTACAACAGAGAGGAAGAAAATAGAAATTATAAGCGCAATGATGATGGTATCTTCGCGGTTTAAAGTCGTGACTTTTAACGAAAAAACGGAACTTTGAGCGAAGCAAATTGTCGAGAAGAGCGGTCGATCGCGACTGGAGGACTCGCTTCCTGTTTCAGTTCTACCGGTTACGTTTTCATTTTTTTTTTTTTAATGCGTTATGGTCTTTATAGCGTGAACATTATCTCGAGATGTTCCAGACCAGCTCGAATTTATGCCACGCTTACGTCATTGTTGATCCTCCCGAGCGACGTTTGCGCCGAGTTTATCAGCTTAGAGAGAAATGTACCTTAAGCTCCACTTACTTTCAAGTTTCAGTTCCAGCAATCTTAATGGAAAAATATAATCTATACCATTTTATTTTAAGAATATTTTTCGACGAAGATTAAAAATATAAGCGACGTCCAATTTCGCGAAGTTTCTGTAAACGAGAGTCGAACGACAGGAAATTTGTTGCCGGATCCGCGACTGGCGCATCCGGTGCTTCTGCGGAGCATCCCGTATGCATGCGATCAAGGTGGTGCTCCAGTTTCTAATTTGGCGAATAGCGTGCCGCCCGTCTTTCTTTATGCGCAGCGCTCGTTCCGCACGCTCGACAGTTAAAACGACGTACTCGTGCTGAATTCGATATCGCGGTGCTATTGTCGCGCGATGTTGCGATCAATACGGGACCCTTTTCGTCGCACGGATTCTTTCTTAACTGCGGCTGTGCATTAGTCCGCCGTTCTCAATATGTGTTCTTGGCCGTTCGCCCGGTACATGCGCCACTCCCGGCGCGACCAGCGCGATAGTAACGATAATAGTTCTTCAATAATTCAGTGAATCAATAAAATAGTATAATTTCTAGAACTACTTCTAGGGGAAGAGGAAGAAAATTATTTTCATCTTTAGGAATATTTCGTATGCAAGGCGCGAAAAAAAAAGATCCGCGAATAAAGTCCACGTAACTCGTTCGTTAACGCCTTATATAAAAGGTAAGGTAATAGATATTATATTATCCCTGCTAGAGGAGATATATATGTGTTCTAGCGAGATATACACACACTATCGCGTGTGGGATTTTACATACATATACATATATATATATATATATATGTATGTAAAATCATATATATGTATGTATATATACATACACACAGAACTTCTTTAAGATAATACCTGCTGGCTGTGCCGAGAGCGCGTTGACCTGATGCCTGATCGTTCTCAAGATGTGCTCTCTCACTCTCTCATTCCCTCGTCCCCCGTCCTCGTCTCTTTCTCTCTCTTCTCTCGGCATCGGACGGAAATGAGAGCCCGCGAGCGGCTCGGGAGACGGAGAGAGTGAGATGGCCCAGCTCTTGAACCCAAACACAACAAGGCGCGCAACGCGTTACGACTCGCACGGGCTCGCTCGGCTCATTTCTCATCGCTTCACCCTTGGAATTCCGATCTGCTGGATTTTTCGGAACTCACGACGGCGACGACGGCAACGGCGGCGGCGATGCCTGCCTCCGCCAATGTCGCTAAAGATGCGATATTGTAGCATCGAGTATATTAGTATATATATAGTAGATACGTTCTCTTCGCAGCTGCACCTGCCTCATTTCTTTTTTTTCTGTCTCTCTCTCTCTCTCTCTCTCTCTCTCTCTTTCTTTTCCCTTCTCCATGTGCAAGCGTACACTTCTTTCGTTTTAAACTTAACCCCGATCATTCCGTTTGTTCAACAGTCTACTAATAATGAGTGAAATTTCATTCAAGAAAACTTGTAAGTAAAAATATCATCCACATAAGTTTAAAGTAGAAGAAATGAAATATTACTTTTATCAGTAATTGGAACTATAGCGTATAGACTCTGTCATCAGTTGATAAAATGAGACGGAAAGTATTAATCAAAATGAAAAAAATTATATAGACTTGTCATTTTAGTGACTCCGAAATAAATAACGTCCGTTTGTCACAATCAGTAAATCCGTTTTCCCTTTTTTTACTCGCGGTCAGTTTCAACCGCCTAGTTCCGTTGTTGTAAAATTCGTAAAAAATTTTTTGACCTGAATATCCCGAGAAGGCCTAGAATTTTACTGGTGTACAAAAAAACGGAGCGATCTCCGAAGACGTGCCTTTGCGCGACGCGACCTCGGCGCGGCGGCGGTTTGATTGATAAAAACGGCACCGAACGGTGGAAACCAGGAACGGCATTTCCGCTTCGGCCATCACGGGCGAAGGGGAAGCCGCGCGCGCGCGCGGACACACTCGCGTGATTCTGTTTCCTGTACAAGCTTTTTCGAAGCCTCCGAGGGAATTCAAGACCCGGCCGGGCGTGAGACCGCCGCGGAGAATCCGCTGCAGTATTTTTATCTTGTTTAAGACAAAAAAAAAGAGAGAGAAAGAGAGAGAAACACAAAAGATTCCTTGCTATTGAAAGCAGAGAGAAATTCCGTTCGCCGTAGCCGGCGATCCGTGTCCTTCGTCCGTAAAGGAGAGACCTATAACGCGTCGGGACGACGCTTCGCACGATTGCGAAACGTCGCGTCTATTAGAACAGTCGAGAAAAATCTCCTTGACGACCGGTCGGGACTCGACGACTGCAGGGTACCTGGGCATCGACTCGATGACGTGGCCCCGTGGTGGAATATTGGCGTATCCTCTCTGAAACACTCGGTCGGCGTGCGCCGACCGCGCGCGAGCACAAAACATCGATTTCTTCACGTAATATCGTGAAAGACCTATAAGCGTGGATGACCTATTTGCATGAGGAAGTCGAGGGGAGGAATAAATATCGCGACATTCGATTTCGAGAATGAAACTCGTCCGCGCGAGGAGAACGGGAACGCGCGGAAAATAGTCGTGAATAGTCGTCGCGCCGCGCAGACGTTGCCCGTCCCGGGCGCCGTTCTTCACCTCGATTACGCAAGCGGTTATCGATTTTGTAATAAAAGAGAAACGTTTATCACACACACGTATCTTTTGCATTCTTCATTATTCCGTCTCATTATCTTCACGTTGCGCCTCTTTATTTACGCTCTGTAATTTTTATACGATATACGTACGACGGTTCTGGATATTATATACGTTTGTATGACTGAAAGTACATTAGATATAGTACACACTATCGGGCTACTATATACTATTTCTAGAGTTAGTTATTTAAAGAGATGTTAGACGATGTTAGTCGCGCCGCTATTATTACGCTACGACGTTCTTCTTCCGAGGTCCCTCTATTATTCAACAACTGCAATGACTATTGCGACTTCCGTACTCTTTCGCAGCTCGCATATATACAGCTTTATTTGTACTCTTTATCAGGAGTCGTTCTTTCAATGGTGCTTCGGCGTGGAGGAGCCCGACTGTTACGGCGCTATCGACATGGAGACCGGTACCTCGATCCTCTTCGTGCCGAGGCTGTCGAAGGAGTACGCGATTTGGCAGGGCAAGGTGCACACTCTCGAGGACTTCAAGGAGCGATACGGCGTGGACGAGACTGATTACACCGACCAGATTGCGGCCGTGTTGCATAAAAAGGGAGCGAAAATCTTGCTCACGCTGGTAAGTCGCGCCTAGGAACAGATGGACGCTCACCGGGTTCGCTGCTTTCCTGTTTACCTTCTCCTTCACGCCAGGTAGGGGAGAGTACTCAATCTCCAGGGACAGTCCAGCTAAGGACCGAAACATGATTTCACAATGTCGATTATATGTATATGTATATATGATCGATCTTTCCTCTCTCTGATTACAATCATTTGTTTGTTGCTGCTGATGCACGTGAGACAAACTATAACGGCGGTGCCGTTAATAAATAAAGGGGAAACAGATCGAAGTGCCGAAAAGATCCCCAGGTTGAGCACCCTCCTCCACGTGCATGTGTGTGTCCCGCAATAAGACGATTCGCCGCGGCATGCCTCGTGACGTTTACCTTCGCCTCCTTCGCGACTGTCTGCCTCTACGATGTGTCGAGAAAGTTGCGTCGGTCGGTCTGGTTTAGCGAGACTCTCCCGCCTGCATTAATATACGAAACTCCCCCGGACAGTCTACTCGCTCTGCCTCCGCCAAACATTTGATGAATGCATACGCGCCCGTATGTGAATTTTTGTCGCATTGTCATCACCAATTAGAGACTTGTTCGAGCGCGCCTCATTCGCACGCGGACGCGACGCGGCGGCATTTGTCACGACTTGGCGAATGTTTGCCGAGTCGAGGGGGCATCGCGCCTGACGTCGCCTCTCTGCCTGTGAGATGACTTACCAGTCCTGTTTCTCGCTGTGCAACACCGCGCTCGCCTGCGCGCAGATGGGAATTGCAAAAATCCCGCCGCATAATACCCTCCCGTGCGAAATACCGCGTGTGCATGCGCGCGCGCGCGCGTTTAAATGCCGCCCTGTTGCTACGCGGATTAGAATTACGGTGGATTTAGCAGAATCCCAGAATGCATTCCTCACGCCTGGCTCTACCGCGACGCGTTCGTTTGCCAAATAGCACATGCACGCGAGTACACTGGAGTACTTATTCGGTGTAATTTTTTTTACCGTTCCTTCCGAAAGAAAAAAATAATAATAATAAAGAAATAGAGAGCTCCGGACGATTCATTGCTTTGTTTGGAGTCTCATATTTGTTTTCCGTTTCCTCCCGCTTGCTTTAGTATGTCTGGATACTCTGATTTAAAGTCAGTTTATTCTCGGTCCACTTTATAGCTTAGAAAATCGCGGTGGAAAATATAAATAGCAGCGCGAACGCAGCCGGCGAAGACGCGCGCGCGCGGTTCGTAAAAGAAGAAACGACACGATAGCGCGCGTAACACTTTTGCGCCGAAGCTTGATGACATGCTAAGCGCGACCAAGAGGCTATAATAACAGAATAGAATATTTGCTCCATCCGCGTGACCTCGCGTGCCTGCAACCTGGCCGGCAGACGCAGACCGATTCGCGACCGATTTACATAGCTCCGCCGGTGACACAGATATCGGCGTTCGTGCAGGCTCGGATGAAAAACGGGCCGATAAATATTTCAAATCGGTCGCTATTTAACGAGCCCACGATTCGTCCCCAGGCCGCGGTGCATCAATAACAACCTAACGGCGGGTACGAGCGACCCGAACCGTACGTTACGAGTACATTACGTGGAACGCTTATCTGATAGCGCGCCGCCGCAAATAGATTTCGCGTCACGAAGTCCAAAAGATACGGCCGGCCTCGTATCGATTTGCGACCGGCAGTGCGAAAAATAATTCCATTTTCAGTAAGCTGCAGTAAACTCTTTCGTATTCTTGGTACGCGAATTATTTACATATATGCGATGTGTAATTCGTTATCGTTAATAACAACTCGATCAATGTAAAAAAAGCGCTTTATTCCAGAAAGTAATTTTCCAAGATCACTTTTCCAAATAGATTTTTTTATGAAGTCTATGCGTATCTTTGTCAGCCACAGTCGCACACATACTCGTATTGACATTTCCCGTTAGCTGATATCTATCTTTCATATCTTCATCTTTCAGGAAGTATAGTTGTTTCAATAGAAAGAGAGTGAGAGGGGATGTATTCTATAAGGAGATATTCTGTTCGGATAATAGAACGTTCGCGTACTAGGACGTGTTCAAATAGAGATCATTCGGACAATGGGAGATTTTGAACAAAGAGGTCTCTATTTGTATTCGTATCAAAAACGTGCTCATGATTCTTATTCCGCAGATACTATCTACAGACATATTTGAAATCTTAAATACATATCCTTTTTAAATTTCTAAAATACGGTCTTTAAATTTTTAAATTTCTTAAATAAAAATTCTGAATATACATGTACATATATATTTTTTGTTCAGACGTTTTTAGAATTAGCTCTCGCGATAACATTATCGCGAAACAGTTTACAATAGCTGTAAAATTATCCGTACAATTGACGAAAAACATTGATTATCTCCGGAAATACGAAGATTAGACATACGTCTTGTATACCTAATGCATTATTTATCTTTACGGCAATTTTTGCTTAAGTAAGTGCGACGTAAGCGACCTGTGCGTCGGCGATAGTAAAGATATTCGACAAATTCGCGGAACTAATTTTGCTAATATACCGGTTACGCGCACGCGGGATCTCGCAATTCAGGCCAATTTGGAGCAATTCAGAGCATTTTGCGATTCCTCCCCCGCGCGCGCGCGCGCGGTGCGCATTAAGCGATTCCGGAGACGTTCGCATGGTTTATGTGAAACCAGGAAACTCACAATGGCCCGTGCGCGCGGCGCGGCGACACGATGGCGTCTTCCAGGAATCATAACGCGCGCGATCATCGGCCGTCTCTTTGCGCACATTGAGCCGCGTGTCGCATATAGCCGTCCCGTCGGGCAAATTGACATGGAGCTGTCAGTGTTTGTCTAGCGTCGGTCGGATCGATCGAAAACACAAAGCTCGCAGATCGTCGTTAATGCATCACAAGTGTCGCGAGACAGGTCATTTAAACTGCTGATGCCCATATCGCTGACCATATCGAAAATCGATTCGGCTATACCTATATGTATATTATACACGTGTTTCTACGAATTCGTCGAAGCTTCGTCGAGACGACACGAACGCGACGGGTTGTTTACATCAGCTGCCGGTGCTGCCGACGAAAAAAAACAACAAAATGTCTAATATCGAAATGCTTTGCTCCACGGGACTCCGTCGCTCCGGCGTGCGGTGACTCGGGATGAGTTTCATTATTTCATACTATTTACCCAGACCGGTCTCTGTTATGTTAGCACGTAGACGCTGAGTAGATTCTAGCAATGCCCATGTAGACCTCCGGCCTTGAATCTTCTTCCTCCTCCCCTCCCCACCCCTTCCTTTTTTCAGTGCCGTTCAATAAATCGAATTGCCGCGAAATTCGTCGGGAAAAATCAACATTTAATGTCTTCGCGGAAAGTGTTATTTTGCTGAAACGCGCGTGCGGGATCGACGCGCGGGCATGAATAAGAAATAGAGCACGACTCGGCATTTGCCGCAAGGCAATCGCAGCCGCGTCTTGCATTATTCCGAAATACGTGAGAACGAAGCGTTGTAAGATCAACACGTGTGTAAGATCCGAGATCCACATCGCGCGGATCTCTTTCTCACGCGTTTCGAGATTTCACATATTATTTAACGCTCAAGTTTACGGATCGGCAGAGAATTACGATAAATCCACAGAAATCCGTTTTCCTGTTTCGAGCATTATTTTTTTAATAGGTATCCTATAACCCTCGCCCTGCTCGAGAAGGTAATCCGTAATGTCTTGGAATTAATTCTTTTGAATTCTATCTGTCGATTTGGTATTCAAGAATTGAAAGCCGAGTCGGGGGTCTGCGTTTTGTTAAATATAATTCTGACGCAACGTCTCACGTAATCGAGAGCTTTTTTTTCATTTTTATTTCAGACGAAATAAAAATGGGCTCGGCGTTTCAATCTTTGATCTCGTTTGTTTTTAAAGATTAACATAACGGTCGTACAATGTAAGATAATGTGAAATCAAACGTCTCTGCGGCATCTCGAGATATCTCGTATTTTTAATTCGCTCCAAGCATAAATTGTGCAATCAAACGTATTTGTTTTATCGGAATTACAATAAGATTAAGTAATAAGATGAAAAATATGCGATAACTAATTATCGCGCTTATTCCGAGGTCATCATCGTTAATGTGAAATTACGTCCTTGCGCTTCAACCATTAATTATGTTGAATATTGTTTGCAAACAATGCAACACTTGCCAAGCCGATTACCCACCCGACAATGCGATATTCATGCGTGACAAAGCTAATTTAATGGCTGATAAACACGAATGGAAACAAAATGATTCATGCCGGTCGGAATAACACTACCAAATCGGCGTGTTTATCATTCATGTGTTTACCACGCCGTCGTATACATAAAGGGCCGACAAAATATCGAACTCTGTTTCAGGTTTTTCGTTTTTCAAATTCAAATGAAACGTATCGAACTGCCGCGTTTTCGTCGTCGAAAGCCTGTCGTCGAAATTAGCAGGAGCTCGTCAAAATTAAACTTTAGATATTTTCGTGCGCGATCTATTGCATATGCACGAGGGCTCGTTAAAATTCTTTTATATACCCTCCCAGTTTTAGCGATCTTGTCGTCGCGCATGTATATAAGCCGTTCGATCGATATCGGTTTAGAAATTTATGATTGCCGATGGACTGCGAGATACGCGGTGTCTGCATGGCAAATGAGACAAGTTTGGGAACCGAGTGCGGTCGCGCAGGGCGTTACATCACGATCCCGCGACCGCGGGATTAAAGCCGAGGTTCGTTCAAGCGCCCGGCAGAAGTAGGCACAAATTATAATCGACAATCGGGTGAATCACAAAGTAACCTTTCATGCTTAGTAGTAGTACACATACACACACACACACACATATCGACGTATCCGTAGGGACGTGATTACACACATGTGCCACAGAATAAGATATCTAATTATAGAGACAGATGACGGAGGCTGACGCGTCTGACCTTTGTAAAATGTATTATACGAAAAAAAAAAAACATCATTTTTGAATCTCGCTGATATCTATTCTCGGGAAAGTTCAGAAACAGAAGTTGTTTCAGACGTAAATAAATAAGAGAGCGTAAAAATTACGATGAGTTTTTTACTTGCGCCGCGATACGTCGCGCGATATCGCGAATATTGTCGCGCTATCAAGTGATGCAATAATGTGTAATTACACGTTTAATCTGTCTGGGGTCTGTCAAAATAAATAGCTCGCATATATACCACCGGCGGCTTTATACTAATTTTCGGCATTGATAAATACTTATCTCTCTCTCTCTTTCTCTCTCTCTTTCTCTCTCTCTCAGATCGCACTAGACCACACGGGCGGCCACCCGTTCGCGACTCTAATTATGATTACATTGCAAACACGGTATTGCTACCGCATATTTTTTACGCGACACGTCGCGCGCGCGCGCGCGTTCGCGCTCGGCCTTTCGCAATATCCGATACAACAAATGCTGACGGGCACATTCGCGGCACGGTATACCCGCTATTTAGCCGATCAGACGTTTTTTTTATTCCTCAGCGAAAAACGATTAGAGTGCTCTCTAATATCGCAAGCGTGCGCAAAAAGTGATCGCTAACTAGCGTTCATTACGCAGCTGCAAAATTCGACGTGCACCGTGCACGGAAAAAATCGGCTTTACGCAAGGAACTGTTATATGCAAAATGTGGCGTATGTGTAAAAAAAAAAAAGAACCGTTTTGCGATTCGATACATGGAAACCTGTATATCCTACTTGTCACGTAAACAGGACAGAGTTTGAAATTAATGAAGAAATTGGTATTTCAGACCCGACGTATTACGCGACGGCGCGGCATAATGTAACGTGCCGATTAATCGCTTAATTAATGCATGACGCATTAAGAATTTACGTGGACGTTATCGCGTTCGCTCGAAAATATACGTAACGTTATCACGCACGTTATCCTTCCGCGGACGTAGAAATCGATGGCACAGAAACCATTTGTTTCGCCTCCGACCGGATGAGGACTGCTTTCTCTATTCTGACTTGAATCCAAATTACGTAAGACTACGCTTTTACTTTGACCCGCACGATATCACCGCTCGCACGTCGCTTGTATTATATACGTTGCCGCCGCTGCCCAAATTGCGGCAAACCCGATTATACGATAATCGTTCCCTTTTTTTTTTT